ATAAATCAGTTGGAGATTCAATCAGAGTTGAGGTTGATCAGTTGGAGATTTAATAATGAAGTTCAGTTAAGAAAACTGCTCTTATATCAGGTGAACGAATTGAGAGGATGGAGTAGAATTTAGAAAACGCACACAAACTACATCCTCCATGAAATAACCCCAAGTAAACCCTTGACCGGAATCAACAGTAGATGCATAGTCGAATGACGAACACGTGCTTGAGAACCAGCAACTGAACTTATTACGACCAAAGCAACTCTCGCTGAAACATCCTTCGCATGGTACCCAAAGACCATGTGAACTCGTATCGAACCACATCTAAACGAAATCAATCAGTCCTATGACATGACATGACATCTGTAACTCTCTTGTAGTGATGGAATGAGAAGAATCAGCGATTCATTTCGTTCTAAGAAGTAAGTCTAATTTTTTGAAGCCTCCACGGAGATTTCTATAGCAGTAGAAGGAAGTGATGTTGGATGAGCAGATGGATGAGTGGACTTTCTTCGCACTAGGACAAGTAAACTCTGGCTCTAATCAACTCCGATNAATCTGCACTCATTTAATCAGCATTGAACACAGCGCATTGCAAGAATATTCTTCACTATTAACGCTAAATATCACATTCCACATGACTCATATCCTAGCTCGTCTCAATAACATTCATGACCTTGACGGTACACTGGTCGATTTCGAGTGAACTTTTCACCAGCCAGCTCACTCCAACTCTTGATTAGCATCGTACAATTAGGTGAAGTTTTAATAGAAACTAAACAATGCCTAATATCAGTGAATATCATATTTCCATCGTTACTCTATCCCTTATTCAAGCAAAAAGTTTTCTGTTTCGAGAAGTGTACTTCTTTTCTGAATGCTGAAATGTCATCGGTTGCTCGATGATTTTGCAGTTGAGAGCAATGAAAGACTTACGGTAAAACGTTGTGGTGGTGTTCCAATGGTGATCTCTCCCATAAATCGTATGTTCTCATAATTGATAAGCGGCTGATTGAATCCATGATGTTCATTCGATAGAGACCCATTTGCCGAATGTTTACTGATGGCATATTCAGCCAAAGCTTTTGTGTTGTAATCAGTGCTGTTCATTCCTTTCGTACCAACCCTTTTATAGAGCGGTGCCCTGAAATTGCAAGTTGCGTTTGTTCTTATTTCAATAATCAATCCTCGAATTTGACGGGAAAATTAGAATTGATCAATCGCAGATGATAATTTAATTGGATTTGGTTGGTTTTACAAAGTAAGTTGATCATTGAAATCGTCATCTTCACTCCACAGCATTTCTGCTGACAACGAACGTTCGTAATGCTGCTCAAACTTCCAGACCTTCATTCACATCCGGAAATGCTATAAAATGATTTTCACGTCGTTCCCCATGAAAAAGNGCTAGGGCCAGCAAAACGAAAATGTACGGAGCAGTCGGAAGCATTGTGTCTAAAGTATAACATTTAGAAAGTGTCAAGTATTCTTACGGAAATAAAGCGACTCATCGAACGCGGCCACTTCATTGATCAAAACATTCTGATGTGATGTTTCTAAAGCCCTATTTATCTCGTGATATGCTTCAAACGAACAGATATGAAAAGGAGATGGTCAGCGATCAAACAATGACTGATAGATCAAGAGACGTTCAGTGGAAGATCAGAGGTTCAAGAACGGCTTATGTACGGCTATTTTTAAGCATATTCAGCGTTATTCCTGTGTCGATAGATTATTATGTTTTTATTGCTTTTTAATGATGAGAACATGACCAATAAAACATTGCGGAACATTACGAATTTATGACCTGTTACACACACAAAATTCCTCTCGCTGCCAGATTAGCATTATGAACAAAATTACGAACAAATAAATGTCAGCTTAATTGATATCAGAGTTAAATTGATACTTGAAATGATTCCAGTCATGAGCACAGATTGTCATCTTATCGCTATGTTCCACCGATATACTTCTGTTCAACCAAAACGAGAACACTTTCTCAGCGCAATTTGCATTTTCCAGAATTTGATCGATTGCTTGTGCAATGTTGCCCACGGGTATGAGTCTATTCCCAGACCGACGTAGGAAACCATCGAGAGCGATTGAATCAAGATAATCAATTAAGATTTCGCTGTGATTCGATGTTCGTGAGAAAAAAATGTGATGTCAAGATCGACTTTGAAACTTTATGATCACACGAATGATGAATTAGAGTTTTACTTCTAGCAATTTGACAAACAAAAGAAATGTGCTCATGAAAAATCTCCAGCTTCCTTGAAGACACATGCAAAAGGTTAATTTTTGTTCGAACAAAATGCACTCCTTAGTTCAGTCAACTGAAAGATCGTCCATAGGAGTTAGCCTCATGCTGTTTTTTGATAGATGGTATGATGCGTTTGATCTGCTTGCTCAACGGTCAAACATTCTCAGGGAGATTTCTATAAAATAAGGGTTTCAGTTCATTGTTCACAAGAAATCCGGAAGTGTGTGACAGAAAATGAGGTTGCCAAATGCAATCCAAATTTACACCTCATTCTGGAGCAATACCCTTGGGTAGATCAAAGGCTTTAAAATATAGACAGTCACACATTTGTGCAGTATTTCACGTTGATTATGAACAACTTGGCTCATAATTCTTGAATGAAGTATTTTGAGTGAGCAACATACAACGTTATCTCCAAAAAAAACTAGGTGGTTTGCAATCGTTTTCCTGCAGAATATGATAACCTTGTTGAGCAAGTCTAAAGCTGCAGAGAGCCAAACATGATAAAATTCAACAAAGATCGCCAGTTCTGCGTTTGTATCTTATCGGAATGATGGAAAGCTTGCTTGGAGATGACTGCAGTCTTATGGATATATTGTTCTGAATGACACTTATGCAAAGCATATCACGACAATATGATTTGATGACAACCACGATAGTGTCACCATCGAAATCTTTATCTTAATTCTAACAAATCAATATCATAGTGTGACTGTACAAATGAAACGCCAGAATAACATTGTTGTAATACTTTTATTCGACCCTTGGCTGAATATTGCATCAGTGATTATTTTTATAAATCCCATGATTCCGAAGTTTTAAATGATTGACGTTCAGGGATCTACACAGGGAATTCTGG